AGTAAAAGCAGGCCGATGCAGTAAAACCCCCAAAACTCAAGCAGACAGAATCACCACCAAGGGCCAGGCAGTAAACCGATAGCTAACAATATACTGATCCGAGTGGCGAGCATCTCCGTGCACTGAGACACCTGAGCTTCGCCACCACCCCAGGAGGGAGGGAGGATTATCATTTCATTTTACAGGAGGAAAAGGAGGTTTGGGGAGATCAAGTACGGTGCTCAAGGTCATAGCGGGCGGGGCAGGGTGATGACTCCATTTTGATGATGAGGAAATGGAGTGAACTTGTCAAGACCAGAGAGCCAGTCAGGGGCAGAGGAAGAGATTGAACTCAGGTTTTCCAACTCAAGTCTAGAGCTCTTTCCCCTGAATAAAGGCTGAAGCCTGGCTACACATCGGAGTCACCTGGCGAGCTTTTAATCCAAACTGATGCCAGGCCGAGCGTGGGGGCTCATGCCTGCAATTCTAGTACTTTGAGAGGCTTAGGTGGGTGGGAGGATTGCTTGAGGCCAGGAGTTCAAGACCAGCCTGGGTAATATAGTGAGACCCTGTCTCTAAAAAAAAACAAAAAAACTCCCCCAAAATATTGATGCCAAATAGACATTTCTTCAAAGAAGATGTACAAATTGGCCGACAGGTATTTGCAAAAGTGCTCAACATCACTAATTATCAGGGAAATTCAAAATCACAAACAGACATCACTTCACGCCTACCAGGATGGCTACAATCAAAACAACAAAAGACAACGAGTGTTGGTGGTGAGGGTGTAGAGCAATCGGAACCCTTGTGCACGGTTGGTGTGAATGCAAAATGGTGCAGCTGCTGTAGAAAACAGTATGGAGGCTCCTCAAAAAAACTAAAAATAGAATTACCACATGATCCAGCAATCCCCTTTGTAGGTATTTATCCGAAAGAGTTGAAATCGCGATCTCGAGGAGATGTTGGCGCTCTCATGTTCACTGCGGCATTATTCACAGTAGCCAAGAGATGGAAACAACACAAGTGCCCATGCACAGAGTAGTGGATAAAGAAAATGTGGTATATACACGCAGTGAAATACTATTCAGCCCTAAAGAAGGAGGGAATTTTGACATATGCAACAATATGGATGAACATTGGGACATTACGCTAAGAAAAATAAACCAGTCACAGAAAGACAAATGATTCCACTTATAAGAGGTACCTAGAGTAGTCAAATTCATAGAATCAAAGAGTGAAATGATACAGGCGAGGGGTGAGGGGAGGAAGAAAGGGCAGTTACTAATCAGTGGGCAGAAAGATTCAGTCAAGCGAGATAAGCTCTAGAGATCTGCTGTACAACATTGTACCTATCATCAACAACACTGTACTGTACACTTAAAAATTTGTTAAGAGGGCAGATCTCCTAAGTGTTCTTACCACAATGAAAATAAAAAGAAAGAAAGAAAAGAAAAAGAAGTCCCAATGCTGCGCCAACCCTCCATTCTGACTTGGCTGGTCCGGGGTGGGCCAGGCAGGAAGGTGAACACGGTGCAACTCCACTTGCTGCTGGCTGTGCTCGGCTCTTAGTCGTAATTGCTGTTATTTATTTAGAACCGGTGTGTTAGGCACTTTGTAGCTGTTTCTTTGATCCCTCCCAATAGCGTCATCCCCACTGGGGAACTGAGGAAATAGAGAGGTGAAGCCACTGTCTCTGGGCCACCGAGCTGGTAGTCACAGGACCCATGTTCAGCCCTGGCCAGCCTGACCCCAAAGCTGCTGCAGGGTCTGCGCTACACAGCATCCAAGCAGGGCTCCTGTACAAGCACAGACCTGCTCCTTCCACTTCTCCACCCTTTAAGCGTTAGAGTCAACGGTGCAACCTTTGTCCTGTCCACACTGGACAGTCATCGTCTAGGCAGAGAGAGGGCTGGTGGCTCAGCATTAACGAAGAACAACTTTCTGGCAGTCGAAGGAGCTCAAGGATGAGATGGGCTGCCTGGGGGAGGCAGTGGGCACCCACCACCATAGTGTGTGTAGAGGCTGCAAGAGGGCTGGGATGAGATACCCCTACTTTGCCCCAGGAACCTGAAATCAAGGGCTCAGTGGGCTGGTCGAAGCTCAGTGGTAGAGTGTTGCTGGAAGATGAGCTCACAGAGCTGGAGTTCTAGAAGGCCCTAGGTCGGTCTGGAGCCTGCTCCTCCCCATCATTCTCTTCATACGGGGTGCCTGGGGCCCTGGCAGTGTCGTGGGGGGCGTCCTGAGCTGAAGCAGGGTTTGGGCCACGGCTGCTGCTGCCTTTGCCACCACCATCGCAGCCCTGGTGGGGAGCACCCCTGATCAGTGAGCCCCCTCCTTTCCCTCCTTCCTGCAGCTGTCAACCAAGGGCCTGGGTGGGTCTGGCCAGAGAGGGGCATGGGAAAGCAAGGCGGTGGTCAGAGAGGAGGGGTATCCGGGCCTGGGAGAGAGACGAGCTGAGAGAGCGAGGGGAAGAGGGAGAGACCTTGCTAGCAGGTCTTTGGTCTCTGAATCAGCAGACCTGGCTCCTTGAACCCCTGGGCCTGCTGTGAAATACTCAGGATAGAATTACTTTTAAGTCGCTTCACTACAAAAAAATCAAAAACAGTCACTGTGCAGCAGTCCACTTGGTTTCTTCCTCTACAAATTAGGGATATTAATCCCACTGCCCTGAATTGTTGAGAGGATTAGATGAGATTAAGTTAGAACACCTCTAGAAAAGGCCTGGCATGGTGCCAATGGATTTTAAGAACCCGACCAAGTTGTTTGCCTCCCTCCCCCTCCCCCCGTGTTGATGAGATGGGCTCCTGTCCTCGTCATGGCTTCTGAGGACTTCAGTTTAAGAAACAGCCACTGCTTCTGGCTTGACTCTCAGGATAAGCAGACAGATAAAACCACGCCACTGTTCTTCGGGAGTTCACCTTGCAGTGGGAAGGACTGACTCTATTACAGACGAGTGTGGAAGATCGGGCACTATGGGATTGTAGGGGGCAGTGGCCGGCCAGAGGAGTCTTGCTGGGGAACCCACTTCTGAAGCATGAGTGAGAGTTAGCGTGTAGAGGAAAGGAGAAAATTAATGTTCTAGATAGCAGACTCATCGTGACAATCGCCAACGTGGTGTTGCTGGACCCCAAAGTGTGAGTGAGGGAGGGGTCAGCAGGGCTGGGTCACGAAAGGAGCAGTGATGAGGGGCATCAGAGGGCGTCGCAGGGCCAGGCTTTTTCTTAGAAAACCTGTTCTGGTGCACGTGTATAGGATCATTTGGAAGAGGGTGCAAGAAGACCATAAGGGAAGCCATGTTGGTGGCCGGAGCTTAGGAAAGATGGTGCTCTCGGAGGGAAGGCAGAATCCGTGGGACTTGGGGCTTGGTTGGCTGGGGCTGGGTGAAGGCCGTAGAGGTGAAGAAGGAGGGGTGAAGAGTGGCATCCGTGTTCCGGTTTGGGTAAATGGCCGGCCCATAATGTTCTAAACCAAGAAAGGAGAGACATAGGGACAGCAGATTTTGGTGGGAATGTGTGTTCTGTTTAGAGGTGCTTAGTTTGAGGTGGCTGTGGGACACCAGGTGGAGGTGTCCAGGACGCAGCTGCCTCTGAGGTCTCAGGGGAAGATGCGATAGGAGGTGGTTGGCCTGCAGCTGGTGGTAACAGCAGGCTTGCCCAGAGGGGCTCCTGATGTGGAAGGGCTCGGGGTAGAAAGGCCTGGAACACACATCAGCATTTACAGCCTGGGCAGAAGTGGATTCCACAAAGGAGGATGAGGAGAAATAGCCAGAAAGGGAGGAGGGGAGCCTCGTGGAAACCAAGAGAGGCAAGTGTTTCAACAAGGGGGCGGGCGACAGTGTGAAGTGCCGCTGAGAGCTCCCGCAGGAACTGGCGATTGTCTATTGGGTGAGCAGAGGAGTTTCCAGCGAGCGGTGGTGTCGGGACAGCCAATTTCCCTGGGATGGAAAACAAATGGAAGACGAGGAAGTGGTAGTTTCCCCCCGGAGTGTGGATGAGAAGAGAGGGGGGGACAGGTGGGCACAGGTAGATCAGGAGATCTCTATCAAGGGGAGGCATTGTAGGAGCTGGAGACCCAAGCGTGTCCTGTGCGTGCAGAGGCAGGAGGGGCAGGCCGAGGAGAGGTCCCGATGGTGCTGGGAGGGAGGGGACGACGAGGGGACAAGGTGTAGAGATGGGAAAGGACGGAATCTAGAGCTCGGAGGAAGGATGGGCTTGGACACAGGTAGAGGCCCCACATCCTCACGCTGGGGGTGGAGATGAGGCTGCTGACGAGCTGGCCAGGGGGATAGGGCTAAGGCAGAAAGGAAGACATTCCACACGAGATCACCTTGCTTTTCTCAGTGCAGCAGGAGGTGAGGTCATCTTCTGGGAGCGAAGGGGTGGGACAGGGTCGGGGGCGAGTTGCTCAAGGACGATCATGAGGGTTTTGAGCTCCCTCCGAGGGAAATGGAGAGAGAAAGCCGGCCGGAGACAGCGTTAGTACTAGTGCTGGTTGTAGTTCATAATGGAAATAACAACTGACCTATTTTTAGTGCAAAGAGCTAAGTTCTTCCCACGCCTTCTCTCATTTATTCCTTCAACAATTGTGTGAGGCAGGTGTTAGTCATGTCCTCATTGTGTACATGAAGAAATGAGGCTTGGAGAGTGTCCAAAGTCAGAGACGTAGCAAGGAGCAGAGGGGGCTTCAAACCCAAGTCTTGCTGCAAAGCCTCGCCCTTCGCCACCCTGTCAAACTCATGGCATTCCGGGGCCCATGGGGGTTGGAGACCAGGGACACCCTGTGTGAGGTCGGGTGACCTTTGACTTTCACCGTTTGCCTCTGTGAAGGTGCAGAGCAGGTGTGGAGGGGCAGAGGTCATGAGAGACATGGGGAGACACGTCATAGGTGGTGGGCAGAGAGACATTAGAAGGTCGCAGGGGTGGGAAAATGATGACAAAATGCAGGGACGACAAAGCCAGGGAATGGGTGGCTGGGACGGTGTGGAGGTGGAGGAGCCCTGAGGCCAAGACAACCAGGTGCGAATGTCCCCCTGGTACTGGGGACTGGCCCACAGCCAATGATAGAGCCAATGACCAAACCAGACGGGATGGGTGGGCTTCCAGGGAGAGGGGGTATTTGCAAGGCTATGGTCTAGAAGGGGTGGCCAGGGCTGCCTCGGGGCCTTGTGTGCGGAGAAAGAGCAGCTTCCACTTGGGAGGGGTACAGGGCCCCACTGTTCTGCGGGGACCTTGCTTCAGTTAAGGTCAGGAGATGGAGGCTCAGTGCCAGAAGGGAGGCCCTTGGCAATCGGGCTGAGGGACAGGTTCACTTTGATGACAGCACTCGGCCCATCCCCTCTGGGAACATCTGCTCATGGCCATACCGTAGTGGGGCTTTGGATTCAGGTAACTTTGGTTCTAGCCCAAACTTTGCCCCTGCTTAGTTGTAAAACCTTGGGCTTCAGGACCAAACAATGTCTAGCATGTAGTGTGGAGCTCAAAATAGGTTAGTTTTCTCCCTTTTTCCCCTCCTCAGGGCCAGGGTGGTGTGAAGCAGGATGGGGAAGGAGAGAGGCTGGTCTCGGGAACCCCTCTCCGGGGTCTTGGGGGCGTGATGCTCCGGGATGCCAGACACGCACTGTTGGAGCTGGTCTTCTGCCCACCCCCTCTCCCCGTCCCCAGGGTGCGCTCAGGCCCCATCCCTTCTTCTCCCAAGGAGTAGCTGTCTGAGTGGACCACCAGGGCTGGTGAGCCGCCTGCCGCCCCAAAGCTCGGCCCTGAGCCAGGGTGGCAGGGGCTCTGCGTCCACCGCCCGCATGGAAGCCAGGAGCAGGGCTCCCGGGAGGTGGCCGTGCCCGCCCGCCATCACGTTGCTGGCCCTCGCCCCTCTGCTCAGCTGCCTGCTGGCCTCCAGCGAAGCCAAGGTCTTCAGTCGCTGCGAGCTGGCCAGAGCGCTACAGGACTTCGGTCTGGATGGCTACCGGGGGTACAGCCTGGCCGACTGTGAGCACCGCTGTCCCTCCTCCCCACGCCCGCCCTCCTTTCGTCATCATGCAAGGGATGTGCCTTCGGGAGCTTTTAGCCCTTAGCTCATCTGTAAAATGAGGTTATCTGAGCCCGGCACTGCGATAAGCACGCAGTGGGCAGGCGGCAGGCGGCCAGGTTGGGGTCACTCCTTTGTCCTCCCCTGCAGGGAGTCAAAGAAAATGAACAGCTTAGTACCCTAAACTTAATCGTGGTCACGAGGATCAGACATTCCTACAAAGGCAAACTGAAAAAATCGGTAACACCAAACTTTTCAAGCTGGTGGCAGCTTCGCATAGCCGTCGGTGAAGTACAGTCACCTCTGGACTCATTTCTTCTCTAGTTCCGGCCCCCTGCACAGGTCCCACCGGTGTCTTCCTAATCTTGCCTCTAAAAATTCAGCTCTTGTAAATTCATTCAACACACTTATTGGCCCTACTATGTGCTGAACAATGAGGAAGTGGGGAGACCGCCAGCCTGAGTCAGAGGCCGCAGGCCCAGTCCTGAGCCCTGCTGTTTGGTAGCCGTACGTGACCTCGGGCGAGTCACCGTACCCCTCTGAGCCTCTGTGGGGGCATCTGCAATAGGCGGGTGGGCGGCTGCTCGGATCACCCCGAGGCAGGTGAGGCTGGTGGAGCCCATGTGTGGGACCCGCACCGAGCGCTCGGTCCCGACCCGGCCTGTGCTCCACCCCCCAGGGGTCTGCCTCGCTTATTTCACCAGCGGCTTCAACACGGCCGCTGTGGACCATGAGGCCGACGGAAGCACCAACAACGGCATCTTCCAGATCAGCAGCCGCAAGTGGTGCAAAAGCCTCACCCCACACGCCACTAACCGGTGCCGGATGTACTGCTCTGGTAGCGGGGCCAGGCCCAGGGCTGGCTGGGGTTGGGCCCTGCACCAGCCTTTGCTTCTTCCCCAGTTTAGTTTGCCCCCCGCCCCCGCCTTTATCTCTGAGTGGGGATCCCCCAACAACGAGGAGAGGGAGATGGGGCGAGTGATGGGGGTGGGTCCTCCATGGATCCGATTTGGGGCCCCAGGTAGGAGACTGGCCTCAGCACTATAGGAATGGAGGGGGATGGGGTCTGATAGATGGGGAAAGGGGTTGCGTCACGACACCTGTGCTTCTGGAGTGGTCGAGACGGGATTGGATTTAGGGCCAAGGAGAGTGTGGGTGTGTGAGAGAGAGACCCTCTGGACACCCAGCTCTGCTCCCTGTCCCCTCATTGTGTGTTTCCCTGGCCTCCCACCCAGACTTGTTGAACCCTAACCTCAAGGACACTGTTATCTGTGCCATGAAGATAGCCCAAGAGCCCCAGGGTCTGGGTTACTGGTAAGTGACTTGGGCCGGAGTGCCCAGGTGGTGTGGCCAGGCCTGGTCTCCTTCCTGTTCTCTGAGCAGTGACCGGTGACTGCAGCTGACGTGGTCTCTCCTCTTCCCTGCTCTCCTCTCCAGGGAGGCCTGGAGGCATCACTGCCAGGGCAAGGACCTTGCTGACTGGGTGGATGGCTGTGACTTGTAGGATCCTCTCTGGATGGACCGGACCATGCACAGCAGGCTGGGGAATGTGGTTTGGTTCCCGACCCAGGTGTGGGAAAACAAGTCAAGTAATAAAGTATAGTTTAACATTGATGTGGTTCTCTGCTCTTAGTGTGTTTGCAGGTGCCTGTCGGAGCCCAAGCACCTCAGTGCTTCCTCGCCTTACCTGTCCAACTGGGCTGGGCTTCAGGTGGACTCTAAAGAGCTGGCCACAAAAAGTTTGCCTCCATTCCTCGTGTTCTGGGGTGGGAAGGGGGATGGGCATCACTGCCTTTTTTGCCCACACCTGGTAGAGTTTTGGTCTAGGGTTGCCAGATTTAGCAAAACAAATAAAAATAAATTATTTAGCAAAAATAAATAAAAAGCAAACAACAACAGAAACAGGATGCCCTAGTTAAATTAGAGTTTTGGATATATAATAAACAATTTTAAGTATAAGTATTTCCAAATTATTGCATGGGACATTCTTATATTAAAAATCATTTGTTGTATATCTGAAATTCAAATTTAACTGGGTGTCTGTATTTTACCTGGCAAACCTAGCTGAGTCTGGTGTTGTCTACCCCTGGCTTGTTTGGGAGGGTCCTTGGGACCCTTATTCTCTGCAGCTCTGGCTGCAGATGGCAGCCACTGTGCCTTGGCCCTCCTGCTGGTGGCTGCCTATGGGCACACTCTTGCCACCCTGGGGTGGTGCACAGGGAGGAACGCCAGCCGTTTCCGCTTCACCTCTTTCCTGCTCTCCAGTGCCCTCTCGTGGCAGGAAATTCAAGTGTGGCTGATGGACATGGTGGGGCCACTTCCTGGGTTAGAAAGTCACCACACACTGCCCACCATGCTAGGAGGCTGGAGACTGGAGGTGGGGGTAGGAGGCGCCCGTGGCTTTCAGGTAGCAATCTGCATGGCCAGTGCAGTTCTCTGCCTTCCTGGAAGGAGGGTGTTCAAAGGAGGAAGATGGGTGGAGTCTCAGGACCACAGTGGATGTGGTGGCAAGAGCAGCCGTCGAGGTGACGGGGTCGTGTGTGAGAAGGCTGAGCCCTGCATTCGGGTTGTAGATTCAAAGAATGTTGCAAGTACTGAACTGTTGGTTGAGACATGGCTGGTGATTCCTAGGGAGGGGAGGGGACAACAATGCGGGACGCCCTGCCCCTCCTGCTGTCATCTCTGAATGCCACTGGGTCAGCAGATGCCAGAGGGGTGCTGGACGTCCACCGCTGGTGACGCAGGCCAGTCTCCTTCCACTGCCGGTCTGGTCAAGGTGATGACAAGACTCGAGAGCTGCTCATACGAATGGCCAGTGGAGAAGGACGCGGCTGGGGCTGGGGCTTCCATGACTAAGGAGTCCATTAGGTCGGAGGTGGGGAGAAGCTGCTCTCTCTTAAATATTAAAGCTAACACTGCGAGCCTACTCTGTGCCGGGCATTATCACATTTGACACTGGAACAACAGTACGTTGCGGGGACCTTGATGATACGATGATCACCATTCCACAGACAAGGAAACAGGCTCAGGTCGGCATGATTGCACGTGGGCTCTCACTGTGCTTTGCCGAGGGGCTGCGGTTATGGTCACTGGCCAGAGGCCCTCATATCCCATCTGTCTTTGGATGAGTCGTGCCTCTACTTCAACCTCACTTCAGACTGCGGCCGCCGGGGTCGCCTGATTGCCCCCTCAGTTCCATTCAGCTCGTCTGGGAAAGGAGTCCCGGAGGAGGCAGGGTGAGGCTCTTGGAACCAAAGGGAGAGTCCTTGAAAGGATGTGGGGGCTCTGGGCTGGCAGGATAGTCTCAGGGCCACCCGTGGTGGGGCTGGGCAGGGGTCAGGCAGGAACAAGGGATCCTGGGGGCCTGGGCTGGGTGGAACCCCCAGAGCAGGGGGAGACGGAGAAGTATCAGGGGAGAGTGCCCCGACCATAGCCAGGGAGGCCTCCCATGGAGGGGGGGCTAAAGCGTGCGCAGGTCCACCTGCAGGCTCAGCTCCTGAGTGAAGTGCTCGAGTGGTTGGAGTCCCCGGGCCACGTCCTGCTGTTTCCCTGCTTCCGTCTCGCTCTCACCCCACTTTCCGTTTGCCGTGAACCCTGCCTGTTTTACCTTCCGACTGTCTCGGGAAACTGTCCCTCCTTTTCTATTCATATATAGCTGCTTTGAATCAAGCCCTCAGCACTTCTTCGCTGGGACAATTGCAGTGGTTTCCTAAGAGTGTCCTTGCCTCTAACCTTAGTTCTCACCATGCCACCGTGCCACCTCCTCTCTCAGAGTGAGCTTTGTCTTGTTTCTGCTGCATATCCTGGTTCCGATGGCTTTTCTCACCTTTGAGTTCAAATTCCTTGGCTTGGTATGCAGGGTCTTTCATGACCAAGGCTCAGCTGACCACTGCAGATTCGTCTCTCAATTATTTGGAAACTTTGGCTGAGCTGGTTTCTGTTTCTGGGAGGCAGTTCCCCGAGAGCAGCATGCTGCTTCAGACCTTTCACCATCACCTACTGTTCTTCCTCTCACTCACCACACTCTAGTTAATAAACTCTGTCCTTTGGGTGCAACAAATCGTTTGTACCCCAGGGCCTTTGCATGTGCTATTCAGTCCTCATTGATGCCATTTCCTTAGATCTTTGAATGGCTATTCCTTTCTCTTCGGTCAGGCCCTGTCTCAGGTATCTACTCTGCAAACTTGCCTGTTTGGCAACTTCTACCTAGCTCTCAAGGCTTCAGGCAAAACCTGCGCTAGCTCAGCCAACCAGACAGGCCCAGGTGCATCTCTCCAATGAGTGCACTGTGCCTTGGGCACCTCTGTAGCTCTTGCTGCTCAGGTGTTTGTATACATGTCTGTTGCCCACCTCTGCTCAACTAGACTCTGTGTCTTCTTGATATATAAATTTCCAGTGCCTAGTGCAGTGCCTGGCACATAGAAGATGCTCATGAAGTGATGGATTTGCAGCAGAGACCCCAGCCTGGTAGTGGAATGTCTTCTTCCAGCTCTTTCTTGACCCCTCCTCCCGCTAAGGCGGGTTGAGCTGGGTGTGCTTCGGTGCCCACCAATCACTTTGTACTGGGCCCATTTTAACTTGGCTATAACTCCATTTGAAAAGAAGCCACAAAAGTCCGAATTACACTAAAGACAAATGGCCCATGATGGTGATAATTTAGCCAAATGAGCCCCTTCCTTCAGAGGCATGATGCAGAGAGCCGCTTTAAGGAGACAAGACATCCAAGCCCCCATCCTAAAGCATCACTCACAGCAGGGGGTGGGCGGTTTTAACAACCAAACAACCCCCCCCCACACCGCTGTAGCCCTGCTCAGAAACAAATGAGGTGTCACCAGTGGGGTGTGTTCAGAGGCTTAGTGGCAGCCAGAGAACATTATGCATGCATTTCCCAGATGCAGTGGACCCCGTGGTCACTTTCTTTAAGAACCAGGCCGTGGGGAGGTCTGTGAAGTAGATGCTCTGGTTGCTTTTTGTGTACACAGGTCTCCTCAGCCCTCAAAATCTTCACATGCATAAAACAATTTTATGAAATCACATTTCCAAGTTTTCCTGTCCATATTCATTTCTGCCTGTTCATTCATGTCACCATCTGTGAGAACCGCACTAGCACACAGGCTGCGTGCGGCAGGTACCAAAGATTTCAAACAATGATGGGAAGCAAAAACTTGAAATTGATCGAATCCTATCTATCATTTTTTTTCCTTGATGTAAATTGAAAAATGACAGTCATTGTGTCATTTTAGGAGAAGAAATGTTGGCAGCTCTTTGTGGTGCTGTCGTGTTCTTTTGCAGGATTGTTTAGCACTTTCTAGAAAGGGCGACTCTGCCTAACACCAGTGGGTCCCTAGAGGCTCACAAATGGGCCCCAGGAGTCCATAACCCTCCTAAAATTGCATGTAAAATTTTATGTATATCTATGTGACCATGTGCATTTTTTCTGAGGACAGAATTTGTAGCTTTCACCTTATTTTTAAGAGAGCCAGTGATCCAAACAAGATTAAAAATCAATGTTTTATAGGAGGCTGGCCCTGACACCCCCGACCCCCTTGCACAGCCACAGGGCCACGGGGAGCAGGCTCTCTGGCACAGCTGGGGAGGGAGCAGGGGAAGGAAGGAGGGGCGGATCTCTGGAGGTGTGCAGAGCACAGGTCCACCAGTCATGGGACTAGTGTGGCTTGACTGTCTGTCACTTGCCCTCAAGGGATTTATAATCTGAGCCGGGAATACTGCAAGTAAACAGATGACTACAAAAGATGCCTAGAGCTTTCCAGCTGAGGGGAATGAGAGAGCAGCATGTGCCGAGCCCCGTGGATGGGAGAAGGACAGTGCAGGGGACTGTATGTCGGTTCAGGGGATGTAAGCAAAGCAGTGAGGGGGAAAATGTCCTAAATGACCACCGAGAGGCAGGCAGGTGCCAAAGGATGAAAGTCCTGGTCCCCTTGCTGAGAAGGGTGTCACGGCTAATGTCCTTCAAGCTCTTCCTTGCTCCCCAAGAGTTTATGGAGACATCTCCCAAGCCAAGGGCTGACTCACTGAGCTAACGCCTTTCTCCCCACTCATTTGAGATTCCCAGCCTCTCAGCACAGCCTCAAATTCCTCGCCCTCTATGAGCACCCCCTTTCTTGGTTGGGATCATGAAAGTTGTTGGGACCTCATGGAGGCCCTCAGCCCTGTGCAGAATTCGGTTCTCAAAATCGAACCGAACCCTCCGAGCTTGTGGAGGAAGAGGTTTTTCCTGGGCCTATGAGCTCAGGTGGGTTGAGCTGAGCTTCACCTGTGGGAACACGTGACCCTCCAGGATCAGCCCTGCGGGCAGGACCTGCCTCTGACGTCCTCCTTCCCAGCTCGCCAAGAGCCTTTCTCCAGAGACCCTCTGTGGACTCTGGTCTCCCCCTAATCAGTGCTTACAGCTCTGCAAACTCCTCACAAGGCATGTTCGTGGTTAAAACTTCCATAAAAATAGCTTCGAACTGGAAAGAGGAAAATAAAATAACTCCGGCCTCT